TAGGGGAATGTTAAGTTTAGTTTGCGACAAAAATTATACCTCTCGGGTCAAAATTGGCGAAGTTATGGCCTTTTTAGCGGAGGGGTGGGGGTCGGCAGTTTTCCTATAGAGTCTAGTTGCACTGGTAGGGGTGAAGACCAAAACTTTGACAGGCTGCCCTGGGGAAACTATCAGAGATAGAAAGCTGAAATTTGCACTGCAGGTACAGACTGGTTGGAAGTTGCTGTGTTCCAAATTTCAGGTTCCTACCGTGAAAACTCTGCCTGTTACAGCACTTTTGGTTTCTGATTTCTTCCCCAAACCACAAAATAAGCGATTTTCCTCTGGAAAATTTGGGTGAAACTTTAAAGTCGATTTTCTCGAAACTTTTTCCAAAATGCGAATTTCTCTTTTTGACTGAAATAGATAGGGGACATGTTAAAGTTTAGTTTGCGACAAAAATTATACCTCTCGGGTCAAAATTGGCGAAGTTATGGCCTTTTTAGCGGAGGGGTGGGGGTCGGCAGTTTTCCTATAGAGTCTAGTTGCACTGGTAGGGGTGAAGACCAAAACTTTGACAGGCTGCCCTGGGGAAACTATCAGAGATAGAAAGCTGAAATTTGCACTGCAGGTACAGACTGGTTGGAAGTTGCTGTGTTCCAAATTTCAGGTTCCTACCGTGAAAACTCTGCCTGTTACAGCACTTTTGGTTTCTGATTTCTTCCCCAAACCACAAAATAAGCGATTTTCCTCTGGAAAATTTGGGTGAAACTTTAAAGTCGATTTTCTCGAAACTTTTTCCAAAATGCGAATTTCTCTTTTTGACTGAAATAGATAGGGGACATGTTAAAGTTTAGTTTGCGACAAAAATTATACCTCTCGGGTCAAAATTGGCGAAGTTATGGCCTTTTTAGCGGAGGGGTGGGGGTCGGCAGTTTTCCTATAGAGTCTAGTTGCACTGGTAGGGGTGAAGACCAAAACTTTGACAGGCTGCCCTGGGGAAACTATCAGAGATAGAAAGCTGAAATTTGCACTGCAGGTACAGACTGGTTGGAAGTTGCTGTGTTCCAAATTTCAGGTTCCTACCGTGAAAACTCTGCCTGTTACAGCACTTTTGGTTTCTGATTTCTTCCCCAAACCACAGAATAAGCGATTTTCCTCTGGAAAATTTGGGTGAAACTTTAAAGTCGATTTTCTCGAAACTTTTTCCAAAATGCGAATTTCTCTTTTTGACTGAAATAGATAGGGGACATGTTAAAGTTTAGTTTGCGACAAAAATTATACCTCTCGGGTCAAAATTGGCGAAGTTATGGCCTTTTTAGCGGAGGGGTGGGGGTCGGCAGTTTTCCTATAGAGTCTAGTTGCACTGGTAGGGGTG